CATACAGTTTACATTTTTTTTCACAAACACTTCACTTTAATTTCCTTCAAGCAACATACATTCTTTGATTGGCTCAGTTTCTTAACTCCCTAAATAATTAATATTACTACCTTAGGATTTTTAATTTAATTTAATTTAATTAATATTAATATTTACAAAAAATTTTTTACTATAACAAAGATAACAGCTTGACACTCACTTTACCTACATAAGCGCCATCTATATAATTTGAAAAACACACTTACTTCTCTTTCACAACACTTTTGCAGACCCCAACATCATTTAGTAGGTAAGTTAGAATTAAAACTTTACTATTTACTTGCTTTAAGTATTTTTTTAAAAAATATTTTATGTAGTATCTAAGTATTTTCTAAATATGAAAATTATTTTAAATATATTATTTATTTTAAAATTGTGAATTAGTTCTTTTGTTTCTTTTGTTTTTTATTTATTATTGTTATATGGATTATGTATAGTTCTTTATAGTTCTTTTTATTGATATGCATATTCGTGTAGGGGAAGTTTCTGTAGTTTCTAAAACATTGGATTCTAAAAATACAATGGATAGATTTTACACTAGATTTGCTTATGCTTCTGAATTTACAAGATATTGTAGATTAGTTCGAGAATTAAATCTTTACATGTTTGCATATTTTAAATTATTTTAAATTATTTGGCTTTTTTCCTTTTTTAGAATTTAAATTTGCTTTCTACTTTTTTACTTTTATACGTATTTGTTTAGAATTTAATTTGTTTTAAATATATATATATATATATATATATATAAAGAATGTATTATGACAGGTGTACATAAAGCATGTGATTTTCATGAAAATGTGTTTATTCATTTCTGTAACTTATGTATGAATTTTGTAAATACATCTTGGGAATATTTTTTTATTTGAATTCAAATTCTTTAATATATTTATTAAAAAACATGTAACAGATCTCTTTATCATCTGAAATAATGATAATAATATAGCTTTAAACCGTATTTTCATATAACATATAAAGGTGCCTATTTTGTAATATGATGGAGGAAGGAAATTGAAATTAGACATGTTAAATCATTAAACATCCAAATGCTATAAAAAAATCAGGAAAAATTTTATATAAATTTCTTTAAAATTTTTTATTATTCTTTAGCGCCTTGAAGAGGGGAAACTGAACATTTCTTTATAATCCGAATGTTTTACAATATAATTTCCTTTTCAGCACATTTTGTTTAGTAGTCAGATAAAATATATTTCATTTCTGCATTCAGGATATGCTAGTTTCACTATTATGATTTTCTTATTTTAAAAAATTGCTTCTTTTGAAATTAATGGAGAAAGCAGCATACCATAATAAAGTAATTACATGATTTTATTGACCATTAAACATAAGCTCCTCAAAAAAGATTTATATTTTTTCATATGCCTTAAATATTTCAAAATATAGTTCTTTTAATTTTTCAAAAATTAAAGTCTAGAAATTAATGATACCAATCATCCTCTTTCACTGTGTGGATGAAAGGAAGAGGACAAAAATCTTAAATTTACTTATCTTCAGTTGGCGTTTTTACTACATTATGAAATATTAAAAACAAACCTATTTATTTGTTGCAGCAAAATTCTGTTTAAAGCAAGATTAGATATTTCAATGATCTATAAATACACATATTACGTATTTGTTTTATTATATCTTGCATGCATTTATGTTTATGAATTATGTATTTATGTTATAAATGTATTCTTCAGAGATATTTCGGAACATTGTGTATAAATATATAAAAAATGGCAAGCACATTTTCATGAAGATCTACCGTTCAGTGTCGCGTTTTAGCTGCGCTTTTATACCATATTCTTTATGTGTTACCTGGAAGTCGTACCAGTATCAATAGTTAACGTGCTATTGTTCGTTACAGAACTGCAGCATATAGACATATTTCAGAACGCTGTACGAACGTTTTATAGAACGTTCGTTACACGATACATTACAGTAACACAGGCATCTGATGTGCTTTTGTACGTTATAGCACTAACATATAGACGTGATTTAAAACGTTCTGGTAGAACGTAGTATGGACGTACTGTTTAAAACATTCTTTACACATTATACAAAAGTGACATTAACATTGTCATTAGACTTGATATTGTCCATTTTAAAACTATAACATTTACACGTTATTTAAAACCTTCTTGACAAAATGTTGAATGGACTTTTTTATAAAACGTTCATTACACGTTACATGAGAGTGCCACTAACCCAGGGAGTGGAGGTGCTGTAGTTCATTTTATAATTGTAACATATAGACGTGATTCGGAATGTTTTGTCTGAACGCTCTCTACATGTTCGTGGAACGCTCGCATTGAACGTTTTTTGAAAGTTCCGGTGCTAGTTAGGATGTCTGCCCTCTCGAGCGTTAATGGCCCAGGGCCACTAAGATCCTTCTTGGCATTCAGTATGACCCTTCTGGATCCATCCAAGCCATATTCGCTTGAAAATCGTGGGATCTCGACCAACACGAGCAGCCATGTCGCGTAACGATGAACCGAAGTACGACAGGACACGATCCTACCTCACTCGAATTCCGACACGTGCTAGTAGGAGTTTCTGCTTCTTGCACGAGCCGTAACGCGAACTTTCCCCAAAAAAATTCAACGTTCAAATGTGATTTTTCCCAAATGCGCAACCTACAAACTCTTATTATTTATACACAGTATAAATGGCATTACTCATACCAGTTTTGTGCGCTTGAGCTGGAATGCTAATGATTTGCATATCCCAGCTTGTTGTACCTTTCACGCGAATTTGATGTTCGTTGCATGCTGCTTTTATGGCTTAGCAATTTTAATGGTGAGTAGCGTATCTGAAAGAATTTCACAAGAATTTTTCCATTTTTCTGTTTGTTTGTGTTACGTTTCTCTAAACTAAGAATGCATTAATGAGTTGGAAAAATGCTTCTGAATGATGCACGATTAAAGAGATTTTAAAGCATAACGGTACGTTTTATTTTAATTCGGTGTTTGAAAGAACTAAATTACGAATTTACTTTTGCAGTTTAACAGATGGAGAATGTTCTTTTATGAGAAATCATGTTATCTAGTCATTCATAAATAATTTAATGCCTTTAAAATATGTGGACTTTCAGTGTTGCATGTATGATGGCTTTACATGAGTTCCAGTCCTAATAACTGAAAAATATTAGAAGTTAAAAATCAGAGAATAAGATTAGGAAAGCGAAGGTTTCTGCAAAAGATAAAGACAAATCGTTATAGATCATTCTGATTATGAGAAACAAACAATTTAGTTAATGCTTCGCAGGGATGTGAGAAATTTTAGTGAAAACTTCACTGGGATTCAAACAGAAAATTTATTTTAATTCGTTACTTTTACTTTTAATGTAAAAAAAGGAGAATAAACTGTAGGGACATTAGGTTAATTCGAAGCTGGAGAGATGAAAAATTAGCAATGCCTTCGCCGGGATTCGAACCATGGACCTCTCGAATACGCGCCGACCACTACACCACGAAGGCATGCTGTTGAGAAGGCGGGAGAAATACTTTATATCTTTTTAAAGGGCTACTGGGGATAAGGGGGCCCTATCGTCAAATCCTGGGGGTGGAGAATCATCATGCACCGCCTTTTAGTTCGGGCGCCACTGTAGAGACATTAGGTTATTTCGAAGCAAGTGTCATGAAAAATGAGCAACGCCGGAACCCAAACCACGGACCTCTCGAATACGCGTCGAGCGTGCTGACCATTACACCACGGAAGAAATACCTTATAAAACTTTAAAATCCTCAAAAGCAGCATGAAAAGCATTCGCAGTTTTCTTTTATATCTTTCTGAGCTGTCTGTTTCATATCTTTTTATCGGATGACATATGCCCAACCCATTAAAACACAGGATGCATAAATGCAAGCAAGTGCTTGAGGTAATAAAGGATACCTTTTTAGTTCTCCATTTGGCCATAATGTCCAGAGATTTTGTTAAAATGATTAAATTATAAGATAATTCTCTTTGTTTTAACCTCTATGAATCTATTTCGTTTGTGGCGTTTTTAAATTTTACTGGACATTATGGAAAATGATTAAATTTTAAGATAATCTCTTTCTTTTAACCTCTGTGCATCTATTTCAGTTCAGAGATGGACGATGCGCTCCGGAACTGATTCAAAGAACCGATTCACTTTACTGAACGAATGATCAGCGCTCCAGCTAAAACTTAACGGCACTCTTTAACAGTTCACCGAGAGCTGTTATTGGGAAGCATGTCAAAATTTGATTCTTCTTAATCTTACACACTAGCATTCTTTCCTTTATCACTTACCGGAAACGTCTCTGACCTAGTTTTATGTGTGTAATATATGTATGTATGTGTGATTTTGTTTTTGCTTGTGTTCCATCTAATATTTAAAAAAAACAAAACAATAAATAAACTAACGCATCTCAGCGAAACTGACCAGCCCTGTTTGCAAATGGAAGGAGTCCCCCCCCCCAAATCTCTCAGTGCGAGGATCTATTTCAAGTATGTAGATTATGGGAACTAGTTCATTGGATTCCCAGCTGTCAACACTAGTAGGCTCCTTCTCTTGTCGCAGGCCTGGGTCCTTCGTAGTTGTCATTATTCGCTCTTTTCATTGCTACTACTCTAGTCGCGGATCTGATTCCTACAGGGTTTGCATTATTCACTCTTTTTATTGCTCCTGCTCTAGCCGCAAATCTAGCTCCTACGGAGTCTTGATTATTTAATCTTTTCGCTTCCTCGGAGCTGTTCCTTTGAGTTTCATTTTGATTCTTTGAATACTATGACATGGTATATCTATGTATATTAAGTATTACCATTTTTATAGAGTATTAGTGTAATATTTATGTAAAGTAATGAATTATATTTTTATTTATTTACTTATTTTACTAAAGTCTTGTAATATAGAGCCATGAACTTCTCTTTAGTCTTCTTTAGAATTAGTATACATTTATAAACATAAATTTTTCCATCTAATGTGTTTTTTCAAGGTTGCAGAATAAAATGTGGACTCTACCGAATAGAAGAACCTCCAGCAATATTTGGTATCATTTTGTAAAATTAGGTAAAAAACGGAAAATGCCAGTATTTTTAACAAGAGAAGGAGCCTACTAGTGCTGACAGCTGGGAATCCTGTTCTTTGGGATGTGCCTCCAATCTAAACATTTATTTTTACACTGTGCTTTGTTGTAGCAACAAAATATCAATTATAGTAATAAAATAATGTAATCTTCAACAAAAGTTTGTTTAGTTTTCATTATTTTTTAACTTTTAGCATTTTTTATTCCAGAATTTTATTGTTGTTCTATGTAGAAAGCTGTTTTTAGAGAGTCTCAAAAGTACAGTTGAAAGAAATCAGTCCAGGAAGTGAGTGGTTTGGTTGAGTTGATTCCAGCGATCCCACTTTTTCCTTGTTCAGGTCTTTCTGCTTTTCCCCATCTTTGCACACTGCTCTTGATCCACGCTTTTCCGAGCGCATTCATCAAGGTCATTGTTAATGAGAGGTAAATCGTCTAAAAGAACTGATTCACTTCAGTGAGCGAAAGGTTCCGATCTGATCCCTTAAAAGAGCCGTTTCGTCCATCTCTATTTCAAGTGTGGCGTTTGTAAATTTTACTGTGCCGCTTGCAGTTTGGCAGGGGCTGAAGTAAATCGTATTTAAAGAATAGCTGATTGCAGAGATTTAGAATATTTTTGGGCAGCGCAGTCTAATTAACCCTTGTATGCAGAAAAAAGGAATATGCAAGCAATTCTTTCATACTTTGGGATATTCATTTTTGTTTCTTAATAACTAAAGTACTGTAAAATATGAAAAATATGTTAAATTACTTACCTGCAGCTCTTGGAGTTTTTAATCCGTCGTATTCTTGGGGGACTATATCATCTATAACAAGCCGACGTGAATTGTAATCTCTGCTAAAATAGAAAAAAGTAGTGTATGTTTGCTTTCACTTTATAGCCTGACACCAAGCACAAATATTAATACTAAATGTCTGTCAAAAAATAGTGTCTTCGAATATTAAGAAAATGTCTTCGAGTCAAAGAAAATGTTCTTGACTATAAGCGATACCACAAATATTGTTCTATAACGACTCCGACCTTGCCTGTGTCAGACTAAAGCACTTAAAGAATTTATATGGTTTGTAAGACAGGACGAAATAGTACTACGGGTAATGCGACTAAACTGTTTACATTGTACTGCATTTCTGATGAAAGCAGGCTAATATTTTTCAGCTATGCTATAAAAAATAATCTATGGTTTGAATATCAAATTGCATAAACTAATTACATGAGTATACTGCATTTTTCGTTTAAGCATGCGCTGACTTTATAATTTTTATTTTAAATGACGAAGAATTAAATGTAGAACACTTGGGTTCAAAGCGAAAGAATTAAAATGTCATTATTTAAACGGTAAAGCAAACAAAAAAGAGATTTTAACTGTATTTTTGAAACACCTGTTCTTTAAGCTGATTCGAAATTAAATTATTCATATTTCATATCCCTATTTCTAACTTGACTAGAAGTATTATGTACCCCTTCTAATGAATCATTAATATAAATGCATAACATCATATATCTTTTCAAGTAAGCCAATCACTTTCGCCTATAATTTTGTAATTCTTTGCAACAAAGGTTGGTTTAAGAACTTCAAAGTGAGATTTTTTTATTATTTTTCAAATTTTGATATTAATTATCTCCTTTTACAGATACTATTTTCTTCGAATATAGAGCTTTCAATTAGATGCATTTTAAAAGGAACCGCTAGCTGTGTCAAATAAGGAAGCATTGTTCTTTCAATTTTCCCAACTTGGTTATCATTAGGGCCCAGCCATTTAGGTCCTACATTTAAAGAAAAATAATATTAGGAGCTACTACACATTGTGTCTCACTTCGCACAGTGTCCAGAAAAGTTATTACTCTGCCTTTATTTTCGGAACTGTCACTCACAAACATATACTTTGACTTACGAAAGTGTTTTAAATTACTCAAATATTCATGTTTTGGCATTTTTAAATATTCAAAAAGTTATTTTATTAAAATTGCGAATTCCTGTATTTATATTTAAACAAATTTTATACTCATAAAAGATAAAGCACAAAGTGCTTGACTCCCATACGACAGAAATTGACCGACATATTTAATTTTAAAACTTGGAATATTTGACATAATTTTCTACATGTTTTAAGGGGCCTTTAACGTATGCCTTTCTGTTTATATATATATATATAAGAGTGCAAAGTTCTTTAATTTATAATTTTGATACAAATGGTGTGTTGAAAGAATTTTCTGGCAAATAATTTACAGGTTTTCAAACGCTAAAAATACGTTATTAGTTTACTGAAATTTTATGATTTTTAAAACCATTATCAAACCAAGCATTCATTAAACTAGAAATATCTAAAATTTTTAATTCATGCAAATACTGTTAACAGTTGGCTATACGTATAGCACAGATGCCTGCCGGCCCTTTTTTCTATAATACGAATTTTATAATCCTGCGAACTATCCTTTTCTTGAGAAAACATTTGTATTGATTTATGCTTTTGACGACAATCTGTCTAAAAGCCTTCTTGACTTCTCGTAATTAACATCAGAATCTGTTCTATAAACTGATATTTTATATTTAGTTGTAGAGACATTAGGTTTATTTTTGAAGCAAGAAAGATGAAAATGAGCAACGCCTTCGCTGGGAATCGAACCACGGACCTCTGGAATACGCGCCCAGCGTGCAGACCATCACCCCACGAAGGTATGCAAAGAAAGCGGGAGAACTACCTTATATAGTTACGAACAAACGTAAGCATTTCCTCTTCAGTATATACATAAATATAAACAGCAACTTTAAAATGTAATATCTCCGTCAGTTTTTGTCGTACGCGAATCAAAGTATTCGTATTTTATTTTTTGTAAGGAGTATAAAATTTTTCTAATTTCAAGTATAGGGACCGGCAAGACGCATTAAAAGTTAGATTTCTTAATTTTTACAAACTCATCATTTTTTTAATTTAGAAATGTAAAAATATAAATATTTGCGCCATTTGAAACATTTTTATAACTGGAAACTTAGATTTGCAATCAACGGTAGCGATAATAAAGCCCAGGTGAGATCTTACTTTAACACGATATCGCAATTGAGACAATTTTAGGCATAATCTATTCATTGCTTTTCCTCTAAATATAACTTTTGCATTTATCACTTTTATTCTAAGCTACTCTGTATGTTCTATTATCATGAATATCAGTCAAGCTCACTTCAGTGCTTAAGCCGACTCGACGAAAGTCGTGTGAATACAAATAAGAAAGCGAGTTTTGTTTGAAAACACACAGTTCTGCTATGTGCTTCCTTTAAGGAGTTTGTATACATACCTGTGACAAGTACAGTTACTTCAGCTCTCAATAGTCCTCTCAAACTTTAGCAATAATGAAAGAAATTATCAACCCCCCCCCACAAAAAAAAAAGTTGGGAAACGAAAGCTATCATCTTATGCCATTTTAGAAATAACTTTATTCGTAACGTTTTAAAGAGGTAGAGTAATTTACGTCTCTTGCAAATTAGCATAAGCAATGATCAAAAACTTTTACTCAACATTGTGTCCTAAGTCAATTTTGTATACTAATGAGTGGAAGTCAAAATGATGACGAACAAAATTTCACAAAACAGCCATTTTTCTGTTTTCCGCTAACCAAAGTTTTACAGTGATTCTTGCACAGTTCTTGGCTGCCTTCGACGTTACTAATATCAATATTATTTATTATTATTACAAAACAACTGAAGAATGGGGAGATTCAAGGCCTAGAATATAAAGAAATAACTCTATAATATGAAGAATAATGTATAGGGTAAGGTTTAGTAAGTCGTCACCCCTAAGAAAAAATAGGTATAAATAGTAGGATAATTAAAGTTATCGGTGGTAATAATATCTTGTGATAATATCTTTATAAATTCCATACACTCTAATCATAGTATTTACTGACGGTTAGGGTTATGACAATGGAATTTGTGCAGCATATGTGGTACCGAGATAGACTACGACAAAATTAGAGTTGAACCTTACAATTTGGCTTTTCAAGCAGAATTGGCTGTTATCATATTTGCCCTTAAATGGATTGATGAAACCTTGACTGTAAAAACATATATTAACAGACAAACAGACTCATTATCTGGTTTGGAAGCACTAGCAGATGTTGATAACACTAATGTTTTGGTAAAGATTTCTTTGTAAAAGTGGAGAAAATAAATGAAGTGTGAACTGGGTGAAAGCCCATATTGGCGTTATAGGCAATGAAAGGGCTGATATGATGGCCAAAGGGGCTGCTAATGGGTAATGCCAGGGATGCGTTCAATAGTCAAGAATAAAGAATCATAAAGAATTGTTATTGGTAAAATCAAGGATTTATGTTATGTTTGCTGGAAAGAGAAATGGAATATTTCGGGGAAAAAGAAAGATTATTCGTTGAACTTTGAAGTTTCTAAAAATATGAGAATGATATGTGATTTCGATTACAATCTAATAATTACTGGACGCGGGCGCTTCCCGACGTACCTGAAAGTATATAATTTGCAAAATAACAGTCTTTGTATTTTTTGTAGTGCTGAAGGCAATGCACGACATTTTGTCGAAGACTGCGTTATTGAGACATGTTAAGGAAAAGCATGCTAACAAACTAATTCTACTGCCGCAATAAAGAGTTTTGGTTTGTAAACAATTTGATGAACTTTATAAATGGCAATATAACAATAGTGGGAATTTTGGTTTCATGCTTTTTAACTATATTTCTGTTTTAATCTGCTTTTTAATCTTTTGTTTTAATCTTTTAACTGTATTAATTTTTGTCTGTGTTGAGTGTATTGCGTTAACCATGAGGCCGATTATTATCAGACAGGAGAGTTGCAGCACACACGTATATTACATTACACTTCCTTCTAATCTCTTCGATAAAGTTAATAATATTTATGGACACGAACTTAATAGGACTTATAAAACCAGCATTCTACGTCGTACCACCTATAGCCTAAATTATAATAAACTTTTTCCTCAATTAATTTATTTTGGAAATTAAATACAACAATGATCATAAAGATACTTTTTCATTTTCTTGTCAACTCCAGCACATAAACCGTGTACTCAACCTTTGCATTTTAGGCTCTGATTAATATTTTCTTCGCAGTCTTCCTCACAAATATTACAAGGAGACGAACACGATGTGAAACAATATGGTTGACTAGTGGGTAACTCGTTTTGCCGGAAAGAAGGGCGTATTTGGCGTGATATTACTCCTAATATTTAAAAGGTACGACTTAAGCGCTGATACAACTTTCGTAACCTTAACCTATTATCAAATGTCCTACAAGTGTGATTTTTGTAACTGCAAAATAACAGTGAATGAAAAGTACTTGGCCTTACTATTTCGTCAAAGCTCAACACCAGGAAAACAAAGCACTGAAAATACGAGGGTGAATCAAATATAATCGAGCCTTTTGTTTAAACAAAATTTATTTAATACGAAACATCTACATTTCTACAAATTAGTTTTCTAAATAATCTCGTACTTTTACAATACATTTTTCGCGATATTTTTGTAATTTTTTCATTCCGTTCTCGTAGAATGAAGTTGGACGGGTCTCTACCCACTTGCGCACGAATGCTTTCACTTGATCATTGGTCTGAAATCGCTTGCTTCAAAGTACTTCTTTGAGGACGTCAACATGTGAAAATTGCATGGCGATAAGTCTGGGCTATAAAGTGGATGATCAAGCTTTTTCCAGTGCATTTATATCTGTTTCTGTAGCGTTACACTTGCTGTGTGGGGCCTGGCGTTGTTGCGGAGGAAGGATCAACACATGGCGGATGGGACAGTCTTGTCCTTCGCGTCGACACTGAAGCCTAACTTGATCCAAGAGACCTCAGCAG